CGCTCCAAACAGTCCAATCCACGCCCATCTCCTCCTGGCACATTACTCGCTCTATGGACAAATACCAACAATCACCGAGAGTAGTACGTACAATAGAAGCTGATGCCCATAACTTCCCATCTCTCTTCTCTCTTCTCACTCTCTTCGTTCTCTACTTGGCGTAGGAGACAAGGCTCCTTTGGACATAGGATAACGAAACACGACGCCCATGTTTAAGAGAGCTCAAATCAGCTATGAGATGCAGAATTAAGAAACCGTGGGAGCATGAATCCTCTGCTGAGGCCTGAGGGGCAGAAACTAAAAGAAGAGACAAAAACATTTTAAGGGATAGAAGACAAAGAGTTGTTGATACTACATCTTATCTATTTACCAGTTATCGGTTATATTGTGAGATCAGTTCTTGTAATCGCAAATGAGTTCAAATAATTCAAATAAGAAGCAAAAGCTAAAAACTTTTTTTTTTTTATAACAGCTACCACACTATGCACTTATCCTTTTAAAACAGTTAGCATTAGACATGGTCGCCAACAAGAACCATTAACTGTTGATGGCCTAGGCCAACGGTAAGATCACCTGTTCCTGATCCTACTCCTGGTCTATATAATCTTGCTTAGCCAAAAAATTACACCAGATTTGTACTAAGATTTCAAGCTCAATATTCTAATTAAAACACTTCCAATTGGGATACTTGATATTGTTTCACAAGCCCAGGTAGCCATAACTAATGTGAGGCAATAAAGAACCCTTTAGCTTCACTACAGAATATAATTGCAACCACATTACAAGATAAAGCACACATCTGTGAATCTACCGGGCACCATCATCAAAAAGAACTTTATAGAACCGCTTTCTCTCTTCAGGGTCATATAAAGTTCCTTGTTGGCCCCTATTATCATCTTGTTCCAATGTTTCAGTGATTCTTCTTTTCTCCCTGTTCTCTGGTCTAACCAAAATTGCACCTTTCTGCCTCTTCTTCTCCAAATTCAATGCATGCCATCTCTGATTGTATTCATGAAGCCCCACCTAAAATGAGTTTCCCAAATTTCTCCTTGACAACAAGTGGATCCTTATTGATCAACTCTAAACCACTGTAACCTTCCCTAAGAAGAATTGTGTAAATATGATAATGTTTAGAAATATAAAATATGCCCAGATTCTATAGAAGCATGACATTCAATCTCTCTAGTAAATTAAACTCTCTTAAAATGGCCTAATTTTATAATTGACGCTTTCTTCCACAGAGTCAATGACAGTATTCATGCACCAGAGCCACTACCCTCTTCTCCATCTCCTTTGATCCTTCACCAAATCTATCATTTGTATAAGGCGATATATATATATATATATATATGGGCTTTCATTAAATTCATGAAATTTCTCCCAAGTTGAAGGTAGAGAACAAGAAAAGAGCGATTCACTCCCCTATTCTCGAGCTTGGGCTTCTATTACGGAAATTGCTAAATTAGGGTTCAATGAGACAAGCTGGAGCTCCGTCTTCGACTGTAACTAACAAGTCGAAACATGTTAGGATATTTCGGTACAATCCTAATTAATTAATCATCTGAAAACCCAAAATTTCTCTTCAACTCATTGAGCTTCACCACATTTAACTTTTTATTGGAGCTCATCATCAATAACTTCGCTAATCGCTTGATGAGCACCGGCTCTTGTTCATATTCTTCCTCCTCTACCAGAGACATCATCTGTTATGTTAATCAGCAATACTGGTCATCGTTCTTGAGATACACCTCGAAGCAGCATGGATATTTGTCGATCGAGCCAATTGAGGGTTTTACCTTGAAGATCGAGAGTATTGAATTTCTTCTGGAGATATTGAACCGGTGCACCCTGATTAGGGCATCGAGGGATGATATTCTTGATTTGGTTGTTCACGATCCATCGGCGGTTCCTAAAGAGATCCGATTCAAGAGATGGGTTCTATTTCATCAACCACAAAGAAAAACCATAGAGGAAAATAATGCATGGTTGAGAGAAAAAGCAAGATGTAATAACCGCCATTCTGTTCCTCTCTGTAACAATTGGCGCTTTCTGTTACATATTTCAAATTTGCGTCGAGCTGCTCAGTTTTATATCTTGTTTTCTCTCTATTCAACTTTTGTTTTCGATTTTTCGTTTCAAATCAGAACGCCGCCACCGGATACCGCAAGCCGAGTAAGAACCCAAAATATCTTATCTGAATTCGATCCATCCTTTTGCATCCCCGAAGTTACCTCATCTCATTGTGTATCTGCGAGGGCTCAAGTCTCCAACTGATCCAAAGGCACTCTCACTTTCCAGTCTCCTCAAAATGTTCGCGGGAGTGGGAGATGGGGAAGAGATCGTGGGAGATAACCGTTTTTTTCGGTTTCTATTTAGTCGAAGTAAATTACATATATGCCCTTTGTATACATCAACAGGTGAGGGTAGAATTAATCTGAAAAGTACAGAAAATGGGGTTATTCTTTATTGATATAGATGTATCTCATATACATTTTATGGGAGATCTATACAGTTAATCATAAATATCTAATTTTTGTGTTTTATATGTTAAATAAATTGAAAAAAAGGCATCAATATGTAGACAATAATTGCATTTTTAAATAATTAAAAAATATTATTTTAAATATTAAAAAAATAAAAAATAATATTCTAAATATACTTTTATTGATAAAAATATTAAAAATATTTAAATAATGAAAAAAGAGTTGAAAATGAGAACCGTTGGACTTGTAATAGAATTAACATTAAAAACTATTATTTTATTGATAAAATATTAAAATTTAAAAATTATTAAAAGATTAAATAAAATGAGAGTAATTGGACCAATGTAATGCAAGTGCATTACATTAAGACCTTCCCACAAACTGTCCACACCATAGTGTACACTATCTGCGAGAAAATAACGTGGAGGATAAATTGGGGTGTGGCTTGTCCTTGTCCACACTATTTTGTGGACGGGGACTGTCCACACATAGCAGAACGCCATATCTTACTATGGACATGACCAAAATGGTCCCGTCCACGATATATACACGCTACCGAATGCCACCTTAATATTTAATTTTAAAATATCTCTAAGTTTTTCCTCCTATTCTTATAATCCTAAGATTCCACAATTCCATTTATAAAATACCCCCAATTTGTCATAATCCAATTCCTAAAATACCCCAAATTCCCATGACCCTATTTATAAAATATCCACAAATTAGATTATATTTAGGTGGTTGCCTCGGGGTAGGGAAAATTTGGGGATTCCCCACCTTCGATGGGGAATGGGTGCCTCGCCTCCAACTTGCCCTGCCACCAGGACAGGGCAAAGATGGGGTAGAGTGTCTTGACTATGGGGGCGAGGGAAAGGGAGGGGTGCCACATCCCGTGCATCACATGGGGTCTGTTAGTTATAATTACTTTTGTGCTTTTGATAAATTTTTAAAGTTAATAACATAATTTTGTTATTTAATCTATTTTTGTTTCCAAAATAATATACCCAATATAATTTAGTTATTAACATTATTTAATTATTTAAATAATACCATTATTTAAAATTTTAATTATTTATTCAATTTAATAATCCATGGAATTATAATTTATACTATTATTACATAAGTTATGAAATCTATTATAATAATTATTATACTCTTAAGAAAATTTTTAAAATTTATTACATAATTTCGTTATTTTAACTATTTCAAATTTAGTTATGTTAAATATTTCAATATCTAAATATTTAAATAATATTTAAAATATTTAATCTTTTTTTTATTTAAATTTTATTTCTTTAAAGTTATTATGTAATTTTAAATATTTTGTTACATAATTATTTATCTATTTTTAATGTTTTGTTATTTAATTTTTTTTATGTTTTTAAAATATTATTTAGTTATTAAATTGATTAGTCCATAAAATTATAATTTATATTGTTATTACATAATTTCATTATGAATTTCACAAAAATATAAAATTATTAATAATATGAATATTATTAAACCTATTATAATTATATTTTGTGTTTTTAATAAGGATTTCAAAGTTATTAACATATTTTCATTATAATATTTAAATAATTGTTAAAATGTTTTAATTGAAACTTTCTAGATAGATATAGTTGAGAAGTGGGGGAGGATAAATAGGGATTAGGAATAATTTAGGACATAAATAGGGATTAGGGAGAGATAGATATAATTTAGGAGAAAGTGAGGGATAGTTAGCTTCCTAATAAAAATGAGAGGAAAAAAAGGAGATAAAACAGGCTAGGTGGCAACTCATAATGCTTCTAGAGGAAATCTTGTACCCCTATAGCATTGCTCGGTTTAAGTAATGGAGCAAGGAGATGACTGCTAACATGGCAAGCTCTACTTAGTATATATATAGATATAGATGAGGCTGATGAGCTAAACTTTTTTTTTTTTTTTTGGTATTATGTTACCACAAAGAGCTTACAGCACCTCGGTGCTTGGAGTGATGCCGTGTTTAATTGAGTTAAAAACTTAATAATTGCTTGCTATGTTAATAAGCTAGTTAAGTAATTAAGTTAATAAAATTTTAATAAAAATAATAACACTTAAGATGAATTTAAACAAATTTAATAGCATTGCAGTTCACTGGCGATAAAATTTAAGAACTTAAGAGCAGAGTTAAGAAAGATTAAAGTCAACTGACGTTAAGAAACGATTAGTAGCCTCTCGCATTAAGAGATTCACCAGAGATTGATTCAATTTGCCAGCGTTGAGACGTTGGCCATTTTTTCATTAGCTAGACTGAAAAGAGGGCTGGGCCTGGGGGGCCTTGGGAAGTTGGGTTACATGGGAAGTTTAAAAATGTTTTAACCTGGTTGTGTGATGAAATTCATTCCATGGTAAAGTTAAAGTAGGCCATCTGCAACCGGGTTGGGCCACAGGAGGCCCAATTACATTCGGGAAAAATCAAGAGAAAATATAAAATAATTCTAATTAAATTAAAAGTAGTTGGATTCCAGAAGCCCATCCATGACTCACTCGCAGTCACCGAATCATAAAGCACAATGTTTAGATTTTAGAATCACATATATTGTCCCTTTCATTTACAGTTTTTAAGTTTTGTACTTTTGTTGGTACATCCAAATAAGTAATAACGTCCTCCAGTCCAGTGTCAACGGATATAAATCACAATTACATTCCTCTCACCTATACCGCTACAATTAGAGACCTCACTGACAGGCCACAGGCGACAGCTACTTAATGGTAATATACTGATTTGTCCCATGTTTCGCCCAGTGGTCCTTGAGGTCAATTGGGGTAGACAAATCATGGCCTTGTGCAGCTAGCCGGCTAAGCAATTTATTAAACGCACTGCCACTCATCTTTCTGCCTCCAACGCGGACATGGCGCTTGTTGGGCATCACAGGTAGCGGATACATTGACAAGGTGGTGGTGCAACAGGCCGACTGCCACCCTCCATTCCCCCACTTGTAGCATTGTTTCTGGACTCCTGTGCACGAGCAAACTGGCGGTGGCATCGTTGATTCATCAAAACTGACCTGGTTCAGGCCCAGCTCTTGCCCCTTCCACTCAGACTCTGGCCCACTCTTCCAGTCATGTGACTTGGCCACAGCCACACTAGCATGCTTGTTCAAGTCCTCCCCCCCTTTCTTTCCCTTCTTTGAGGACTTGGTGGTCCACTTGGATGACTTTTTAAACAACACTGCCTTACTCTCTTTGGTTGGTGCCTTTACTCTGTGGGGATTGAAGTTGAAGGCCTCTACTGGGGCTGCTGCTGCTGCTGATATAGGAAAGGCTTCACTTATATTCCTGGAATGGTGAGGAGCTTCTCCCAGATGAGGTGGATGGTACCCATGCTTTGGATGATGAATGTGCTTCATCCCACGTGGCACTTCACACCCTGGTGGGCATGTTGGTGTACCACTGCCATTCATGGCACTTTCCCTGTACTCTAGGGCCGCAATAGCATTGTCCCTTTCTATTATAGCATTATTCCGCTCGGCAATGGCTGCATCTCGTTGCAGGAATGCCATGTCTCGCTCAGCCAAGGCCACCTTTTTCTCTGAAAAGGCCATATTCCGTTCTTGAATTGCAGCATCCCTCTCGGCTGCAATGGCCATTATCTGCTGCTTCACCGTCAAGGCATGGTGCTCCTTCATCTGATGTTGGGGAATCATCCACTGCATTGATCATATAATGGTAGGACTGTCAACAGTGGCATCAGATCAGTGTAATTGAGACTGACCCATTTTTTCCTCTGGGTGACAGGTCAGAGGTTCAAGTGTCTGGGTCTAATGGGTCAGCCAGTGATGTCATGAATAAGTAAAAATAATAGTAAAATACAAGAAAATATATACAATTATATATGCAGAAAACAATACATTCATGGTTGCATTCGTGTATGCTTCACATACATATATAATATACATAGACATATGTAATCAGTAATTTTTAAAATATTAAACCTAAAAAAAGAAAAAATATTGTAATTTCTAGCCCATCACTCGCTCTCTAGGTCAACCAGGTTGACGGTTCAACTGCCCAGGTCGCTAGGTCTCTAACCAAGTCAGTTCTTTTTGACTGAAGGTGGATTAAGGGTTAACCCAAGCCAGTATTATGTTTGGGTGACGGGTCAAATGGTCCATCCAGCAAGGTCAGTGACAGGTTGGAAACACTGTAAATGATAAGGAAAAATGACAAGATTTCCAGTGTAACAATGTTGTTTCTTTTCATATAAGTCCCAAATTCCTCTCCCCCTACTTTTATGTGATGAGTAAGGAGATGCAGTTCTACTAACCATCTCGTACACAAATACACAATAAGTTGCCTTCCTCTATAAAAGGACATATAAAGTCCACTAACCTGTGAACATGTTACTTTCTGATATACGCACACAAAAAGGTCTACACCAAAAAAATTTCTACAATTAATTTGTAAACAAATCATCACAGTGAAGCTTTATTCCTATTTCCTATTTGTTAATGTGGACTGTTATGCATCAGGGAAATAGATTAATCCTCTAGTTCTGCCTATTTACTTGAGAGGCCACATGCCAAGGTTCACCATTCAGGACAATACTGGTAGAAGAAGAGGATTTCACTTGTACAAACTTGAAGAAGCCTTTTCCCTATTTATAAATAAGTTTGAAGAAGCTTTAATAAAGAATCTTCCACAAAAGGAAAGAAAGGAGAGAGGAAAGGACAAAAAAGGTTGAGATAATGAAAAGGATAAAAGCCTGTACTATGTAACAAATAGGTGGTAGTCTCACCACCCCAAAGAGGGAGATGATGAAGCATCTCCACTATGTTAGGAATGACACTTTAGAAGTGAAAAAAAAAAAAAGATGCCAAATCTATTCTTGATTTAAAAAAGGCCATGGCCCATCACCCAATTTTGGCCCTAGCTATCCTTGGGAGGGGTCAACAGGATAAAGACCTAACCTTTGGCACTTCTTGCATGAAGTGGCTGCTCTCAGACTTGAACCTGCATTCTCATGATTGTCAGCTAAAGATTTTAACATTTTCTTGACTTCTTTAATTGAAATGGAAGAAAATGCACAACCTTTTGTTTTGTAGATAAAATTTGGTGCCCTTTAGACCCTAATTATCTAATAAACAATCTTTTATATGAAATTGCAAAATATCTTGTCAAAGGGATCTCTGTTAGTGGTTATCATTTCTGGCCTCGCCTGGCCTGGCACGGCCCACAATGCATATATGTATACATATATTATGTCATATAATACAAAATATTATATACATTTAATAGAATATATTTAAAGTCATAGGTCCAGAAAGCCCAACCAAAGATCACACCTAATCTCTGTGGCCATGCTAGCTGTCCTTGACTACTCCCTTTGCAAGGTTTGGTCATACTAGAGTGGGCACCATTCAATTTAAAAAGTCACAGGCCTGGATTTATGGGTATGATTGTTAGAGGCCTATGGGTTGGGTTGCATTTTAACTTGGCTAATAGTGTTCAATTTCCCAGTAATATATTTCAATCTTGCCTAACCCACTTTCCATACTAAAGGGAAAAGATTTTGCCGATCTCTACCAAATTGTCAAGCTAGTTACCTCTTCATCAGCAAACCCCCTCCCAACTCTTGTGAGAATGAATCCCAGATGGCATAGAAGTTCCAAAGCATGAGAATAATTTGGTGAAGTAGAAATAGAAAAATAAATAACCACAAAAAAACTAATAAGGAACATAATGGCACTTCCAAATGAGAAAACATCTAAGAAGACACTTTGTTCCAATTTTTTTTATCTCAAATATAAGATTCATTTTTTATTTTTCCTAAACAGGGTTTAAATCATGATTCCCTATGGGTATCTATTGAATTAAAAGGGGCCCAACCATACTGAGTCTATACCCTTGACACCATAAAATTGTCTCCTTCAAAATGGAAAATTGCCCATTTTCAAAATTTAGCAAGAGTGCAAGACATAAGCATGGTCATATATAGCTTGAAAAGAGAAAAAGAAAGGAAGGAACAAAGTTGAATGAATTCACATATAATATCCCTTGATTATGTGGAATGCAAAGGGTCTTAAATTCAAAATCATAGTGGAATTACTTGAGTTTCAACTTTCAAGTAAAAAAAAAACACAGAAGAAAATATCTTTAGTTAGTAATTCTACTTGCAACCAAACCTTGGAGTGCCAAAACTTGCACAATTGGTATGATTTTGGTGCCATTTAGAAAGCTTATTCAGTCATCTATGCTACAAGTCCAAGATCATGCAATTTGTACACGAATTCATCATTTTACGGCCAATTCATCAAAACTGAAGAATTTGTGTTGATATTTCTATTTTTTGTTATGTTGAGCTAGATTTCTAGTAGTTTTAAGATTTACTTTGGTAGGTAATTGATTTAGAAGTTGGATTTTTTTTTTATAAATTGATTTAGAAGTTGGTTCCTTAATAGAGGCTTATGTCAAAGTAGTAGTTAGTCAAAATGCCAATTTTTGGGAAGTCTTTGTAAGTCAATCCAACTTTATTTAGACATTACTACTGATTATGAGTCATGAAATTAGGGAATAAGCTTAAAAAAGGTCCATATTGTTGCTGCAAATGAGGAAAATAATTGAAATAAAACTTTACTGTTGCCTTAGTTTTCTTTAATGTGACGCCAGATTTTCTTAATGGTCTTGATTCCCTCAAGAAGCTATTAGCTATTGATTCTGAATAACTCTTCTAGTTCTAGGTGATGATGCCTATAGAAGCGTAGGTGTTAATTATTTTTCTTTTTCTTTTTTTTTTTTTTTGCAGGCCTATTCTGATTTTTGTATCAGTTTAGTACTAGAGTTGTTGATCCTATATCTTGGTGAACCTCACACCTTTAAAAAGACCCATGATCTACTGCAATGCTTCTTCTAAAGTTTTTAGATCACTATATTCTTGAAAAGAACCATCAAAAACTTGAATTACACTATGGAGAAGCTAGATCAAGCAGGCTGATTTTTTTTCATCAGAGAATTTACCATATATATCACATCATTCATCTCCAACAACTTCAATGCTTCCTATAAGAAGATTCATGTCCAACTTTCCCAGATTTCCTCTTTCACCTGGAGTGGAAAATTGAACCAAGTAATATTATAGCTTCATAACACATTTTTTTGCCATATGTACTGATACTCTTGAATAAGCTTTCACAAAAATAATACATTAGTTCCAAATTAACTAAATGAAAGTTCCAGAACAGACAGGCCAACCAGTTACCTATTGATGCAGTGGTAGATGGCACCCTCACCCCTGTGGGAGGTCCCAGGTTCAAATTTATAAATTACAGGTAATGCCCTCGTTTAGCTGCCAATTCGCAGTCAAAGATTAGTTGATCTCCTGATGGCACATAATGGTGTAAACCATCCTAGTCGGTACGCCCCATGCTGGAGGCCTCTTTGGAAGTTGCCTAGTAAATTGAGTGTTTTGCCAATCCACAGTACTGAGACCACAACAAAGGAGAATAAGAAAGGGGGAGGGGACAAATATGAAATAATACAAAATCCAACTTCACTAGGAAACAAAGTATGTGTTTGGAACTGTGAACATTCATTCACTAAATATTTGTACTTGATTTGTTTGCAAAACCGAGAAAAGCAATAATGAATCCGTTTATTGACACTTAGGCACCACTAGGCACCATTAGGCACCACATCAGCAAAACAGTGAATAAACACCTACCCGTTAGGGGAAGCGCTAAAGTGAAGCTTCCCCAAACGGTAGGCGTGCACATAAATCAATGCTTGCTTTTGCAAGTCTCTATGCATATGGATTCGCATAATGAGGGAAATGCTGAAGTGGTGCCTATGTGGCAGCGTTTATTCAATAAACGCCGACGGTTCCAAACTCTGCCAAAATTGACAAGAAACTCGTAGCAAGTAGCAACCAATGATTTTCAACCTCATTAGTTATCACATTTAAGAAATTTTCACCCATTCTCTGAACCTATAGGGAGATATATCAGGAGGAATGGTTAGTGACTCTCAGTAGGCGCACATGCAAATCTATCCTTGCATCATCCATTGTAATGACAGACCAATAGGATTCAAGGGTATTATAACCAGTGATTTAAAAGGTGTGCCTAGGAGAACAGGCGAGGCGCATTTTGGGGTATGCGCCTCGCCCAGGTCCTAGGTGCACCCCTTTAAAAAGGCGCATGCCTGATGCGCCTCAGCCCAGGCATGCGCCGTTTTAAACTTTTGCGTTTTTTGCTTTTATTTAGTCTAATGGCTAGGCCGGGGGCGGACCCCGACCACGACCCTCGAGGCAAGCCCGAACAAGTCTATGTTAGGGTCTGAAATTCTTATTTCACCGAAGCCCCGAGAACACCCTATTTGCTAATGTTATTCATTCATTCATTGCAACAAAATATCTTCTTAAAAGGCAATGAAAGTTATAAAATCATTATTTCTTATGTGAGAAATAAGAATTTCAAACCCTAACATAGACTTGTTGGGGCTTGCCTTGAGGGGCGTGGTACAAAGGCGACTCATAGAATCAAGAATGCAATATGTTTTACATCACATTAGCTACTTGAAACAATGCAATTAAGGAAAAAAAGAGATTGTGGGTTTACATGCTTGAAAATGCTTTATATGTTTGCTTTTACTTTTAAATTTTCATTTGAATACGCCTTACATGTTATGTTTATGTATTTTAATTTTAGATAATAGGTTTTTTAAAACATTTATTTTAAATTTTAAGTTTATATTTTTTATTAACATTATGTTTAATATTTTTTGAATTCTTTGCATTTTTTTAAATTTTTTGGCATTTTATTGAATTTTCTGACTTTTTATTTTTAGTTTTTTTTTGTAATTTTGCGCCTTGCTTAAAAAGGCGTGCGCCTCACCTTGGGCTTTTTTTTTGCACCTTACGCTTTTAAAACACTGATAATAACTAACAAAAGCCATGACCATGTAGGTTTTTTCAGGTTTTTTATAGACATTGTATGACCATAACCATCTTTGACTTGCAGTGCACCATCAATAGAAGACTTGCTTACAAATCAGGTGGTCTCCTGAATAACAATGAACAGAATAATCCGGCATTGCAAAATAACTGCCCTAGACGCAATGGATTTTTTAGCAGTGTTGAAAAACTTATGAGGAAGAAACAATTCCTCGTAAGTAAAGAGGATATTTGAGGGACAAATTCAAACACCCCGAAGTAACAGGGGAGTTTGAAGTAAATGTCTCTGGATGCTTAGAATCAAAGTCTAACGACCGCTATACTAAACCCCAAGAATTAGGGTTCGAGACATAATTACATTCCTTATTAACATTCATATTTCTAATACACCGATCAAACATCACAGCTTCTAGTGGTCTGTTATAGCTTAAGCAATACAGACACAAAGCGGATTGCAGCAGAATGACATTTCTCTACAATGATCAAGGCAATAATCAAAGCCGAATTCCACAAAAAAAAAAAAGAAATATAGAAGCAGATAGAGATAAAAAGGTCGAGCTTAATGCAAGAAGAATACATTCCTTCATCAATTATTGATAGAATCAGATGGAAACAGCAGAGACAACAAAGAGGCCGGCAACAAGGAACTTAGAAACCAATGCCCAACGATGGTTGATGCTAGGGTTTTCATTAAAACAAAAACAAAAAACAAGGGAAAGTATTTATAGAGAGTTGTTGACATTGACAGATTGAGAGTTGCAGAGAAATGGAACCTTGCCTCAGAAGCTTGGAGACGAGAGAAAATACTACAGATAATTTCAGTCGCTTCCACACTTGGCTAAGATTCTGTATTCCACGAAGGTGTCGTTGGATTTTCTTCTACTTTTTTTATCCATCTCCTCACTCCTCACTTCTGCTATGGCTTTTCCTCGTTTTCTTCTAATAAATAGCTTGAAGTAAACTAGCCCCATCGATGCCTAAAATTTTGGAATTTAAAACCAAGATTCTGTATTCCGCAAGCTACGAGATTAAAATGTAACGCGGTACGCTTTTCAGAGTAGTAAATATCCTCCAGAATTGGTATGGGAGTGTGATCGTTTTCTCGATAAACACACTAATACCAGTCGTGTCAGTGCCATGTGGCATGTGGGTATTTTGACCCATTTTCTCTGTTGTGGAATTTCGGTAGAAGCAGACTTCCTTCCCCTCGGCTTAGGTTTCTTGTTTTTGAGGCTGTTTTCACCTCTTATTTGCTACGTGGCGTTTAGGTGTCTTATAAAGTCACCCGGTATAGGAATGGAAATGGGGCGGGTTCGGGGTGGGATTATATTTCCCGTCCCCGACCCCGATTTTGAAATTAACACCCTCATCCCTGTCTCTAATCCGCGATGGGAACGAGTTATTCATGGGATGTTTTAAATATATTTTAATATATATATATAATATAAATAATATAATAATATATATATGTATGTATGTATATACATAATCGGGGTCTAGGTGGGGCGGGGATCTCAATCTCTATTCTCAATCCCGATTCCGATCAATAATTCCTATTAATCATCATCCTCATTCCCGTCTCGCCAAAACAATCTCCATCCTCAACCTTATCGGGTCGGGGAAGTCAGGTCGCCATCGGGAATGAGGAAAATTGCCATCCCTAAGCTGATTTTTTTTTGTCAAATTTCTTAAATTATCCCTATGGTTTAACTAAATGACTAACTTTGTCTTTACTATTTTCATATTGTGTTAGAGTATCCCTAACAATTGTCTAAAATCTCCCCTACCATTAACTTTACAACACATTTAATCACATATAATATCACGTGATTGATTTTTTTTTAAATTACAAAAATAACCTTTGCAATACCTTAAGTGATGGTTCTTCTCTCTCATCTGTCACTCTAGTTCTCCGTAGACGTAGTTGCAACCTTTGGAAGCACAACGGAGCATTCTCTCTCTCTCTCAAAACAAATCATTCTCTCTCTTGCCAACTAGGGTTTGGCACAATTTCGCCGGGGATAAAACCCCGATTTTGGCAGGTATTAGGTAATGCAAAGTGTTGACACAGCACTTCACCTGTCTCTCCATTCAGTAGGTTATCGTCAACAAAGTATTGACATCACACCCTTCCCCATCGATCTGTTCACGAGATGGAATCGACAAGACACAATGGGATGGAACTGACAGGACACAACGCAACAGTGGCACAATTAGACTTGGCAAAATGTTGACTCAACCCGCGAACCCGACTCAATCCAATCCCAAAAAAAAAAATAGGGTTAGGGTCTCATATTTAGCAATCCGAATGTGAAAATGATTCGACTTGACCCAACCTGAAAAAAAAACTGGGTTGGGTTGAGTTGCATCATAGGTCAACCCGCTGACCCGATTGTCAATTCTAATTGGGATTATTTATGCATTGTTAGAAGTTTCTACTCTTTAATTTTTTCTATTTAGTCTTTACTTTTTATTGTTTACTCTTTAAATTGTAAAATGTTCAAGTTTTTATTTTATATTTGGAATTTTAAGGTTAATTCTTTTAATTTTGACATTTTCATGTAATTGTTCTTTATTTTTTTACATTTCAATTATTTTTTGGGATGACCCGAATTGACCCATGGGTCAACCCTAACCTGAACATTTAGGGTTAGGGTCTAGCATTTGACAACCCAACCCAAAATCAACCCGAAATACCTTGACCCAACCCAAACCCGACCCACCCAACCCGATTGCCAGGTCTAGGCACAACGCCTTCACATCTTCGTCGTGGACGCCTTTGGCTAGATTTTTCCGTTGAGATCCATTCAGTGAAAGGCCATTGCAGAATGAGGGAAAGAGAGGGAGAGAAATAAAGTTATCTCTCTCTCTCTCTCTCTTTTGTTGGTGGGTTTTTCACTTTTTTGGGTTTTTAGGTATTTCACTTTTTTGGTTTGGGGAATCAGCTAATTACAGGCTGAAACGCTGGTGTCAAAGAGAGAACATGCAAGGATTAAGGTATCGATATGATACTCTCGATATAGGGTGTATCTTATTCGTATCCATGATCATGGATATAGGATACACTACGACTGGTTACGTATCCTATGAGTTGTGCGTATCGGTATGACACACCTTTATATCGAGCCGTATCGCATTGTATCGGTGGATACGGTCCTATACACAGGTGTATCCGTGTCTAGTTTGACAAAATTGTACATTGAGTACTTTTGGATTGTTTTTCATCTTTAATACAAGTTAAAAAATAGTATTGTGAAAACTGAAATAAATAATTTAAGATTTAATTTTTTCAAAAAATTTTATAAAAACTAAAAATTATAAAAATAATATATTTCATCTACCTTAGATATATTTTATTTTACACATAATTATATGTTAAAAATGAAAACATAGTTATTATTTGAAAACATAGAGTTATTATATAAAAATACTAAATAAATAAATGTTCCCAACAAAATTAATGAATAACAAAAAATTATAATTATAAAAACTGAAATGAACAATTTAAGATTTAATTTTCCCAAAAAAATTTAATAAAAACTAAAAATTAAATATAATTTATTTTATCTACCTTAATATGATTTATTTGTTTTATTTTACAAATATGTGTAAAATAAAAACATTAAATGTTAAAAATGAAAACATTTTTATTATTTAAAAAATAGTTGTTATTTAAATAAAATACTAAATTAATAAAAATTGAAAATTATAATTATAAAATTGAAAGAGTGATAATTATTGTACAATGTTTAAATGTTCTAGAGTCCCAATATTGTTTATTGTAATATTTCTCTTCATGTAACCTATTGAAGTATGCATTTCTCATGTGTTTATATCTTATTCATAGATAATTCAGCTTTTGGTTTAGTATGATTAATGTATTTATTTGATTTGTATGCATTTTACTAGAGATACCACATCTCTACTCCACAATGCCCCACAGTACATTCTCGCCGTGTATTGGGTACATCTCCCTACGATGGTACCAGAATCGATGATGTCATCATTGGGAGATACTCTCAATACATGGCGAAGATGTAATGTGGGGCATTGTGGGGCAGAGATGTGAACTCTTTATTAGCATATTCAAGTGTTTCTATATCTTTCGTTCATATCCATGTATTTCCAAAGTATATTCGTATCCGACTTATCTGATACGATACCCGATACTGATATTTTGATCATTGAGTACATGTCGAGAGATTCAGCTCCCCCTTGCCGAACGCTACCAAATCCTCTCCTTGCATGGTGGAACTTGAATATTTATTGTGAGGGACCACAACTACTACCATTATCATAAATCCCACCTCGGCCCCGCTAGCTAGCTGCCACTCCAAATGAGATGACCCACACTTAAACATGCATATGATGAGGGTGAAGCCGATGGATTAAAGGTATGTCGATCCGCTCATATTCAGGGATGGTGATTTAGTTCTTTGCTCAATGGACATTGGACGTATTCAGCGGCAGCTACAATAACGATTTCGTCGGTTGATGTTGTCGAATCATATTGGTTTTAATTCACTGATTTTAATGTTTTATTTTGAAAATTTGAAAAAAAAAGGGTAAAATAGTATTTTTCTTGTAACCGTTAATAGACATTAATGACAATGACAATGAGAACTCACTCTAAGACAATATGTAAATAGTAAAGATAAAGTTTGTCAATTAATTAAACCATAGGGTAGTTTAAGAAATTTACCTTTTTTCTTTTCCTCTCTACCACTACAAGGGTTAATGGTAAGAAAAAGTGTTGCATTGCAAGGGCTAATGGTAAGAAAAAGTGTAATGTAGAAGGTCATATTTAATTTTAAATAAAAGTAATTGTCAAATATGACATTAGACCTCACAAAAATAATGATAAAACAAAAGAAGTGATAATGTAAATTAAATGTGTTGCATGTGGGCGTAGTCTCAATGTCTATTGTTAAAAGAGTTGAAAAACAAAAGTAGTCCAACAAGTGAAAAAATGAATCAACGGGTCAGTGATGAGTATTCAATTTGGCTTGTTGATGAATTGCCTTCTCCAAGTAGCATATTTTTTTTTTACAACCTACAAGAAAAGAATTATTGCTTAGGCAAAATGTCTAATAGAAAATGGTATATAGATATGTTCATAAGTATTTATTACATGAAGGGCTCATTAAAAGGAGATTAGACTTAGGGTAAGTTCAAGATTTGTATATGGAGAGGTAGAAGAAACGGTTAAAGTTGTAGAGTTTTTTATATACATTTTATTTCAAGTATATTTCTTTATCTAGTGTTGGTAAGAATTGTTCAATATTGGATAAAAGCCTACCTTGACTATTCGGACTTTCGATGACAATCTTGGAACAGCTATAAAGTGTTTGAATAGGGAAATACATTAAAATATTATTAATATTATTGATGATGCACGATTTGGATGTTCTCAGCTAGAGGGTAGTTTGGATGTCGGACGTTCAATTGACTAGTCGAATTGTAAGGAAATAATGCTCAGAGGATACAAGGTGGCTTACCCGGTGTGGGCACTCCGATGTTTAAGTCAGTATTCTTAGTATGCAAGCTGAAAGCTTAATAGTAAGTGGGTTAGTGAGTAATTAATCGTGCGTACTTTGTATCATTGGGGCTGATGCCCTTATATAAGTGAGATGTTGTATGTCTTACGAAATGCCTCTGAAATCCCCGACCCGTACTGCTAGGAGTTTTCTCCGCACCAAGAGGTGGACTTTGTGCTAACCGATGGGGTTTATCGATTCCGTCCGATCCGAGTGGGATGAGGATAAGGCTCACATACATGTGACGTGATCCCAAGAAGTTGGAAACAGCTGGTTTTCTTCTAGAAATTGGCCACATGTCACATTGGCATGTTGGACCATCGCAAGTTATTTGGACCTCAATCTTGGATAAGATGCCCAAAATACCCGATTTGACCTAACTCACTAAAGTGGCAAGAAATGCCGAATTATCATCCAATCAACTATTTACTTCCATGTATCCGTACATGAATAGGTCAAATCAAATTACCCCTCATCAATTTTGAAT